TCCCCTCCCTCCTTCGCCTCCCTCCTTCGCTCCCTCCCTCCCTTCCTCCTTCTCCTCTCCTCTCCTCTCCTCTCCTCTCCCTTCTCATCCACGTTTTCTTCCCTTGCCCTCCGTCCACCCGGACTCCCCTCCTCCCTCCTTTCCTTGCTTCACTCTTCCACCCATCCACACACCAACATCCCTCCGCGCTCTCCTTCTGTATTCTTTCGTACTTTCTTTCTCCTTCTGACTCACCTGCATGTGTTCAAATTCTTCAACATGCAGCTTTAACTCTGTTCTGATTGTGTCCCGCCTCATCCTCTGAGCTTCTCGTCCTTGTCTTCTCCTTCGTCTGATGAAACCTCGCTTTCCTCGCTCGCCTCCTTCGACTCTCTTGTTTTCTCACAGGAATTGACTCCTTGTCTGTAGCCACAGCGACGCTTCTCCTCCTCCTCCTCCCCTTGTCTTGGAGCTAGCTCTACCGCAGGAGGTGCGACCATAAGGCAGCTATCAGCCACTGACAACCTCGAAGGAGTCCGGCACGGGCGAGCTTGCCTCCTCCCGCGCCTCGCCTGACTATCAGCGAACTTCCTCCCTCCTCTCCTCGGTCGTCCTTGTGCCCCCCCACCCCCTCTTCCTGCTCTGACAAGCTGCAGGCCTGCCGGACGTCCGGGTGTGCCGAAGATGAGCTCGGGATGCCAGCACGGCCAAGGGACCGGAGGGTCTCTGGGTCAAGGAGGGAGGCAGGAGATGCGAGGAAGAAGAAGGAGCTGGAGAAGGTTTCTGTCTTTGCTCCCTCCTTGAACAGTGTTCTCACTTCATGCCCGTTAGATCCGAAAGCTCAAGTTGGCGAACGCGCGACTGGTGAGGGAGAGGATGAGGGAGGGGGAGGGGGGTAGGAGGATGAGGGAGGGGGGGAATAGGAGGATGAGGGAGGGGGGGGATAGGATGAGGGAGGGGGGGGAATAGGAGGATGAGGGAGGGGGGGGAATAGGAGGATGAGGGAGGGGGGGGGATAGGAGGATGAGGGAGGGGGGGATAAGAGGATGAGGGAGGGGGGGGGGGATATGAGGGTGCGATTGGACCTCTTTCTTCTCAGAGATTGTGACAGGAACACGTTAATGCGGCGTTGGAGCACCACTTGCGACAGGTGAGGTTAATGGCGATGATGACGAGGTGGAGGTGGTGGTGTTTCAGGAGATGTGAATGAGGAGCGATGGTAGAAGTGGTGGTGGAGGAGGAGCTGATATGGAGCAGGAGCAGCAACGTCGTTCATACCGAGAAATGAGAATGCTGGGCGGCAAGGCTCAGAGGTGCAGGAGGAGGAGGAGGAGGAGGAGGAGGAGGAGGAGGAGGAGGAGTGCTGTGATCGGAAGAGGTGCAGGTTGCAAGGAGAGATCTTGCAGCTGGTAGCTCCCCTCGACGCCTCCTCCCGTTGGTATCAGTCCCTTCCTCACTCTGAAAGACGCGCCATGCAGCACGTTCTCAAGGAGGAGATGACGCGGCAGAGCCTTCAGGAGGTGTTGTCCTCGCTCTACTCCGTCCCTGTCCTCCTCCTCTCTCTCCCCTTCTCCGTGTTGTGATCCCTCTCCTCCTCCCCTCTCCTTTCCTCCTGTCTTTTTCTCCTCTCACGTTGTCAGCAGGTGGGGCAAATCCTCGAGCGAAGGGAGGCCAAGGTAGCCGGGTGAGTGTCGGGCTAGCAGTCACGCCATGGCAGGAGCGGCGTCGTCATCCTCCCCCGTCGTCATCCTAGACCTCGCCCCTGCCGTCACCTCAGCTCTCCGCATGCTTGTGCTCAATGAACCTCGCGATCGCTTCCGCCACCGCGTGCTGGCTAAGAGCGCTGAGCTCATAGTCTCTCTCACCTGCTCCTCGTATCAGTTCCCTTCTCCTCTCCTCGTCGCCACGTCCACCCCCACACCACACGCACCAGCGAGGATGCGAGTGTGTTGTAGGCACGAGGAGGGTGCGTCAGCGGGAGCATGGAGCAGCGACCGGATCATCCTTGACCTTGCGTGAGCGAGACAGCAACGAGAGGTCGCGCATACCTTGAGGCCTCGGCGCGGGAGGAGGGGAGGAAGCGGTGCGGAACTCCCTGGTGGAGGAGGAAGCGCTTCTGTGACTGCGTGACTGGTCGATCCTCCAGACTCCGGATGCCGGACGAGGGTCGCATCAGACGCTCCTCCTGCTTCCTCCCTCCATCCCTCCGCCCGTGAGCTCTCTCCGTCCCTCCCTCGTCCTTCTCGCTCCTCAGCTTCCCTCCCTTATGTCGCCGCCCCTCCCATTTGCCTCGTGCCTCCTCCACCTCCCGCGAGCTTCGTCGATCGTCACCAGTTCCACCAACTTCTTCCCCTCTCCTCCTCCTGCTCTCTTGCCCATTGAATTCTCCAAGGCTCTCGGCCCTTCGGCTTCTCACTAGCACGATCGGAGTGCCGGCCAGGGCGGTGAGAGCATCGTGGGAGGGAGGAAACATCCTCCGTGTTTCTTTACCTTCTTCCTCCCTCTTCCCTTCCTCCCTCTTCCTTTCCTCCCTCTTCCCTTCCTCCCTCTTCCTTTCCTCCCTCTTCCCGGCATCTTCTCGAGGGGCAGAGGCTGGCTCACCTTCCTGGGTACCTTTCTGTCTCTTCTGTTCGAGGAATTCGTTGACTTCCTCCGTGGGCTCTTGAGACCTTCTCGCCTCCTGCTCGTCTGCGATCCTGCCCTTCTCCTCCTCCTCCTCCTCCTCCTCTTTTAGCTCTTCCATGCTCTTCAGGAGCTCCTCTACTTTTCCATCCTCCCGCCTCGAAGACGTCCAGCTGTTGCCTTCTCCTTCTGCTGCCTGGCCTCTGAAGCCTCGCACGAACTCGTCCGGCTCCATCGCCTCCTCCTCTCCCACTGCGTCTCCTCTCCTTGCGGAGTTGGCAGGGCGAGGGAGGAAGTCGAGGACTAGTTTGATCCTGCCTCCGGCTCCCTTCCACTGGAGAGGGGCGGAAAGAGGAAACCATCCCTCGCAGATGCAGCTCTCCCCGGAGGAGGACACACCTCTGCGCCTGAGGATCGCGTCCTCCAGCACGATACGAACGTCCCCGAGGAACGCATGCTCGTCTACGGCCTCGCGGAAGTCGAAGACGCGCAGGAGGAGGTCGGTGGGGCAGCGGCGGAGGGGGAGCAGGAAAGTCTCCTGCCACTCCGGCTCAGCCGTCTTGGAGCACATGGCGGTACTGCGGTAGGAGGTGTGGAGGACGAGGCTGCAGTAGGGGTTGAGCTTCCTCAGGCGGCTCTCGTTGGGCAGCCCCCGTGCCCCCTCCACCTTGACGCAGAGACGACCGATGTCCTCCTCCTCCTCCGCCTTCCTCCCCCTCCCCTTGGCTTTCTCCAGCCACAGCAGGTAGAGCGCCTTGAACCTCTTCTTGGTGACGTGCTGGGATAGCAGGACGTTGTGCCCGCTCGACTTTTTGGCCTTGCGGAGCGACTCGATGACGATGGCGGCCGAGAGGTTGACCAGGAAGAAGCTCGTGAGGACTGAGAAGAGAGGGATGACGAACTTGGACAGGTTGCTGCTCTAGCGTTAGACTCCCCCTCCTCAGCTTCCTATTCCTCCTTCTCTTCCTCCCCCTCCTCCTCCTCCTCCCCCTCCTCCCCCTCCTCCTCCTCCTCCTCCTCTCTTCTGACCTTCCACACGTCTCGTCGCACGTCACTTCTACTTCACGCCCCCAAGACCAGCTGATGCAGCTCATCACTCCTGCTGCCTGCAGCTGCTTTGCCTCCTCCTTCGACAAGCAGCCTGGTAGCGCCTGCCAAGTCTTCAGGAGGAGGAGGAGGAGCAGGAGGAGGAGGAGGAGGAGCAGGAGCAGGAGGAGCAGGAGCAGGAGCAGGAGCAGGAGCAGCATGAGCAGGAGAAGCAGCAGGAGCCATCTCACCTCTTGTGCCTTTACCATCCAGTCTTCCTGCTCGGCCGCTGGTGCCCCCATCCATTTCTTCAAGGCTGCGATCGCCTCCTCCGTCGCGTTTCTTGCTCGCGGGTAGTCGCGGTGGACATGCCCTGTCCTCTCCATGATGTCGACCCACCCGTCTCCCGTGCTCATCCTCAGCAGCGTCAGGAGGGAGGTTGGCACCGAGCGGAAGTTTGAGCGCTGGAGGCTGGCGGAGGGGTCGGTCAGATGGCAGCGGACGGCGAGGAGGCCGGGGAGGTCGCGATCAGTCTGCTCGCAGAGGTGAGCGAAGGAGGAGGAGGCCATGACGGCGGAGGTGTAGAGGAGGACGAAGCTGAAGCCCACGAGCGTGAGGAGCTGGGAGGAGCCGGAGGAAAGCGCCTGCATGACCGCAGGCTCCACCTTGAGGATCCGCAGACTCCGGAGGATCCTGAGGCTACGGAGGATCTGAGGGCGGAGGGGGAGGCTGGCGCTGAAGGAGGAGGAGTCGAGGACGAGGCCGAGGAGGGAGGAGATGCTGATGACGCAGTCGAGGAGGTTCCAGGGAGACTGGAAGAAGCCTCGAGGATGGAAGGCGAGGAGGCGGCAGACGAGCTCGACGCTGAAGAGGAAGGAGAAGAAGAAGCTGGTGACAGTAACGAGCTGCGCCTGCCAAGAGGAGAGCTTGTGGGTCTCGAGGACGGAGAGAACGACGCAGGAGGAGACAGAGAGGAGGACGACTCGCTCTGAGAGCCGCCCCCAGAAGAAGTTGTAAAGTCTTCTACGGGAGGGATGCGAGGGCTGGATCATCACCAGCGGGAGATCTTCTCTCCTCACCCGCGTCGCTCGCATGCTCCCGTCCTCCCCCGCCCTCACCGTCACGTTCGCCTCGAACTGCTCTGTCGTCACCTTCACCAGCTGATTCTCAGCTCGTAGGCGATGCCGCAGACGCCTGCGGGCCTGCTGGGAGCGGTGGGTCTCCGACTGGGAGTAGGAGCGAGCGAGGATGGCGAGGAAGAGGTTGGAGAAGATGAGCTTGCCGCAGAGGATGAGGAGGAGGAAGAAGCCGAAGAAGCCCTCGCTGTGCCGCTCCCACGGCCCGCTATCCTCCCCGCTCGAGTCGATCGCCTCTGACAGGATCGCGTTCCACTGGTCTCCCGAGGAGGCGCTGAGGACGGTGACGAGCGCGGGTCCGATCCAGTCAGAGTTGAAGGGTCTGGCCCGCCATGTTCGTCTGGTCTTGTCTGCCGCGACCCCCTCGCAGTCTCTCCGCGCGAAGACGCTGCCGTCACTGCAGGCCCCCATCTTGCCGCTCAGCAGCTGGACGAGGAAGACAGCGAAGATGAGGATGGCGAGGAGGTAGAGGAGGAGAGAGGAGGAGAGCGCGAGGAAAGAGTGCAGGATGCTGCGACCGAACCGGCGGAGAGTCTCGGCGCTTCGGAGGAGGCGGAGTGGACGGAGGGATCGCAGGGATCGCAGGCCGACAAGGAGGGTGGCAAGAGCGGCAGCGTCGGGGGCGGTGCGGAGGAAAAGAATGATCAAGGTGTCTGCGACGCTGATGACGGCGATGGCGAAGTCGAACCTGTTCCAGGGGTCGCCGAGGTAGACGCGAAGACCCTTCCATAGGACGAGGACAAGAACCTCCAGGAGGAAGAAGGCGGTGAAGAAGAACTGAAGGCTATCGATGATCTCTCGCTCTGTTCCCACGCGAGCAGGAACGTCGTAGCCCAGAGTCGCTGCGTTGACGAGGATGATGAGGGAAGAGAGGACGTGAAAGGATCTGCTGCCTCCTACTCGTCGGGCGAGCAGGCGCAAGGAGCTGGAGCGAGCGAGGCCGAGGGAGGAGGAGGCGACAGTGAGCATGTCCTTGAAGCGGAGGAGGACGACGACCTTGTCCATGCTGCTCTTCTGCTGCTCGTCGTACCAGACGTTGTTCGCCCCCCGCGGTCTCTTCCTCTTCTCCTCCTCCAGCTTGTCGCATCGATCTCGGATCACCTCCACTGCCGCATCGATGTGCGCAGAGAGCGCTTGCTCGACAGCAACGCGATGCTCAACGTCCCGGAAGAAGGCCACCAGCTCCCTACTGCTGCATCGCTGCAGATCCAGGTCCCGGATATTGAGCTTCTTCTTCTGCACAGGAGGAGGACGGAGCGAGTGCAGCCACCTGCTCGCAGCTGCTCCCTGCTCACTGACCCAGAGGAGCGAGCGAGCGACGGCTGCTGAGCAGACGCGGAGGTTGACGACGGGGAGGAAGATTTCCTGCAGGGACTGGAAGGGGTGGAGGTGGGAGATGTCGACAGGAAGCCAGTAGCACGCGGTCTCTCGGAGCTCCTTCCTCATCTCCTCTGAGTGCGTCGGGGCTGCCACTGGATATTTGCGATGATACTTAGCTTCCTCCTCCTCCTCCTCCTCCTCCTCCTCCTCCTCCTCCTGCGCCGCCTCCTCCTCTTGCTTCTTCACTCCTGGCTTCATCCTTTCATCCTTGGGCACATAGTGGCTGCTGAAATGCCCAGGCAGCTTCCTCCCCTCCAGCACCCAGCGCTGTCCGTTGGCCCACACGAGGATGCTGCCTCCGTCGAAGAGCTTCGCGTACATCCTCGTCTTCATCTGATTCTTCTGCCCCAGGTACGCGTGCAGCCCCGTCCTGTCCATCGTCAGCTTCCCCCGCACTGGCGTCCACCCGCGACGAGGAGAGATGATGTCGAAGTTTCTCGCCCCCTTCCTGTGCAGGATGACAACTAGCTCAGCTGCCTCCGAGCTGGACTCCCTGCTGCCGTCTTGGTAGAGGATGGACCACATGCCCCCAATGTGAACTTCGCTCTGCTGCTCCTTGGCGTCCTCGCGCTGCTTCCTCCTCGCCTCCTGCTGGTGCACGAGGTTCATCCGCACGTAGAAGAGGGAGGTGAAGACAGCTGACAGCACGCGAGCCAGCACGAGGAGGCTCAAGACGTACAGGTAGGCGATCGCTCCTGTCGCCGACGCCGCGTCAGATCAGCAAGGGGGAGGTAGAAGGGCCAGGATAAAGATATTGATCAGCAAAGAACAAATGCGGGGAAAGGAGGGGAAGGATAAAGAGAGCTTGGAGGTGGACGAGCTAGAGAAAGAGGATCGAGCAGTTCTAGTAGCAGGAGGAGGAGGAGGAGGAGGAGGAGGAGCTAGGAGGAAGAGCGAGTAGTGTTTTGGTAGCAGGAGGAGGAGGAGGGGCGAGAGAACCTGAATCTTGTGTGAGTTGCAGTAAGACATTCCAGCGGTTGCCGAAGACAATCTGAGTTGTCGTCCTCAAAGAAGAGATCCAAGACTCGAAGTTGTCCAAGTCTGGGACTGAAAACTGCACGCTAGGCAGCACTCCTCCTCCTCCTCCTCCTTCTTCTCCTCCTCCTCCGTCAAGGCTGACTTCGATCTTGGTGAACTCCCTGACACGAAAGAAGGAGGAGACGAGGGAGACGTTGATGCGGTCAGGGAGACGATAGTCCTGGGGGGGCTGCTGACTGACCTCTGCGATCGCCCGAAGGCCTGGGAGGAGGGAGGAGGAGGAGGGAGAAGGATCGCGGATGTAGAGACGCGAGCCAGGGATGATGATGGGGGGAGGAGAGAGGAGGATCTTCCCCGCGAAGAGGTGCATGCCCATGAGAGCGAAGGTGAAGATGAAGAGGAAGAAGAGGAGGACGGCACCCCACGACTGCTTCAGCACGTCGAGGATCTGTAGCGAAATGGTCTGCAGCGTTGGGACCCTGCGGAGAAGGCGGAAGATGCGGAGGACGCGGAAGGCGCGGAGAGCCTGGACGCCAGAGGTGGAGTCGGTGCAGGAGGAGGAGAAGTCGTTGGAAGAGAGGCGGTTAGTGTTGCAGGAGAGTAGGATCCCAACCTGAACGATCTGCGGCAGAGCTCAAGAGCGCGTGGGGCGGGGGGGATGCGAGAGAGTGAGCGGAGAGATGAAGAGTGAGAGGACGGAGGAAAGGAGAAAGAGAGGAGAAGAGAGGAGGAGAAGGAGGTAGAGGAGGACGGAGGGATTGGAGATGAGGAGGGGGGTGAAGGAGGGGAGCGGGAGGGAGGAGGAGGAGAGAAGTACCTCAGACAGTGAGACAACGGCGACGCTGAAGTCGAAGAAGTTGCCGAGGGAGAGGAAGTACTTGAATCCCAGCCCGACGAGCTTGATCGCCGCCTCCAGGGTGAAGGCAGCCGTGCAGAAGAGGAGGAGGGCCTCCACGACGGTGGAGTAGAGGAGCCAGGAGCGCTGGTTGTCGGGGGAGCAGCGGAAGAGCGAGCCGAGCGCGGAGTCGCACGTCCCTTGAAGACTCATGAGCACTACCGACAAGCACACCAGCGCCACCATGACGCTCTCGAGCCCCTCGGACAAGGCCAGCTGCTGCATCAGCTGGGAGAAGGAGACTTGCTCGGCCTGCAGCTTCTTGGCCCTCGCCATCTTCGCCTTCTTCTTGATGCTCAGCTGCATCCCCGAGCTGGGGTGCTGCTGTCCGGAGATCTCGGCCCGGACCTGCATGGCGAGCTTCTGCTGGAGGAGGAGGTCGCACCAGGCGTTCCATGCCCCCAGCAGCTCTGCGTGCCTCCAGCGGGCGACGGCCCAGTCGAAGATCTCCCTCCTGTCTAGAATGCGCTCCTTCATGGTCCGCAGAATCATCTTCTGCCGTTGGTACCTGACGCGCCTGTCAGAAGGAGCAGCAGCAGTGGGGCAAAGAAGGAAAGCAGGAAGAGCAGGAGGAGCAGAATCTGAAGGATCAGAGCAGCAGCAGCAGCAGCAGCGGGAGGAGGAGGAAGAAGGAACAGGCAGGAGGAGGGGGAGGAAGAGCAGGAAGAGCAGGAGGAGCAGGATGGCGTGAAGGCTGCTTGCCAGTGGGCCTTCCACTTCTGAAACCCCTGATGCATCTTGATCCTCCTCCACTGCATGATGACCCGGCGAGCCTTCTCAGTCAACTTGTCGTTCTGCATCTTCTCGAACTGTGGACTGTGAGGACGAAAGAAGCAAGAGGAGGGAAGGGAGAACAGCAGGAGGGGAGAGGAGAGAGCAGGAGGTGAGAAGGGGAAGAGGAGGAAGAGCAATACGTGGAGGACAAATAAGACCAGTAGGAGGAGGGAGGAGGAGGATGAGGATGAGGAGGAGGAGGAGGAGGAGGAGGAGGAGGAGGAGGAGGAGGACAAGAGGAGGGGAACAAGGAAGGAAGTTTCTGCAGAACGACCAAACTGAC